AAAGGTAAAAGGTTTTTTAAACAGGCTGCAGCCAACAATTACTTTCTGCACTAATGTGTAGGCTGTGGATAGTTACTCAGAATTCTTTAAGACAAATCTGCTCTTTGCAGAACACGAAGTTACAGCAGAGATTTTTAAAGTCATATGCCAAAGGGTCAACAACAAGGGAGTCTGTTCTTCTTATACTCATAGCTGAGCCAAATCCAGGTGAACAAAATCCATGGTACCAACTCGAGCTGTTCAGCTCAGCACTTTCCAACCACATTAACCCAGATACCTGCTCAGAACACAAGCAGCATGAATCCACACGGACGCAGAAGATACAGTGGAAGTGGGTTTAGAAACTTGAAAAATGGGAAGCCTAACTTTGTGTGTCTGCAAGTATGTCTAATAAGTATGCATGTTTGACCTAGGCTTGGTACCACAGCTTTGGCCACATAAACTTCCTCACCTACTGCTGCTTGTGTAGAAATTAGTACCTTGTTAAACACTATAGCATCAGCCTAGAGACAGCAGCCAACATCTGAGCAGCAGGAAGAACAGCTTTGTTAAACACTGCCATCTCCACCTGATCCTGAGTGTTCCTCGTCTGTGGCACAACACAAAACAAGCAGGGTTCCTTAAACCACTAAAGTAATATCAGAGTGTTTATGACATAAGTGGTTAACACATTTCATCTTGCAATGGAACAGATGAGGAACGCTCACATTGCACGAAAGGCAGCATTAAAAAATTAGCTCTTACGCCTTGCTCAGCCATTTATTATCAGCTGTAAAAGGCAAGGTTTAGCACTGTTCTGCCTACAGTGGTCTTATCCTAACCCACAGGCTCTGGTAAATTTTCAGACTGTGGGATCGGAGGATTAAATCCAATGCTGGACTGTCCCCAGCTGGATGGCTGAAAATAGGGACTCACATGCCGACTCAGACATAGTTTGCTTAGAAGAAACAGAAACTTCTCACCAGTGTAATAAAGTAAAATGTTTATGAATTGTATGTTGCACCCTCCCAGAAAGTCCTCTATACTGCTTGAGTGACACCCTCCAATGGGTCATACCCAACAGATCCATGTAACTGTCCTGAAAACAAAGAGGTGGTGCAGATTACGCTTCCGTCATTGAATCTTAATTCAGCTTTTAAACATTTTATCTTCATTTGAAAAATAGAAGACTGCATGCTATGTATTTAGCAAGTACTGTGATTGCCCTTGCTTGTTTAAGAACAGACTAAAACTTCAAGTAATGTGGCAGGCTACAGTTAAGTCAATAATGTCATGTTTTAGCTTGGATGATGTAAGCAAACTTTTACTTCTTCTACAGCTTCCATAAGTAACAGTGCATTGCTGCTTTCTAGAGAACAAGAAATGACACAATCTGCCACATCAATGCTGCTTTGAAGTGTGTCACGTTTTATCTTGAAATTACTTTTACAAATACTAGGGCCTTAAAAAATATTTTATGTGGAGTCTAGATTAAAAAGCCTACTGGAAATTATCACCTGTTCCTATTTGTTCCTTGTCCTTTATGAACTGGAAAGCCCAGAATTGGATGCAGTATTCCAGATGTGGCCTGACCAGGGTAGAATAAAGGGGGAGGATGACCTCCTTTGACTTACTGGTCACACTCTTCTTAATACAGCCCAGAATGGCATTCACCTGCTTGGCCATGAGGGAACATTGTTGGCTCATGGTTGGGGTGTTGTCCACCAGAACCCCGAGGTCCTTCTCCCCAGAGCTGCTCTCCAGCAGGCCAGCCCCCAGCCTGTACTGATACATGAGGTTGTTCCTTCCCCTTGCCTTTGTTGAATTTTGTTAAGTTTCTTCCTGCTCAACTCTTCAGCCTCTCCAGGTCATGCTGGAGGCAGCACAGCCTTCTGGTGTGTCAGCCACCCTCCCAGTTTTGTATCATCAGCAAACTTGCTAGCGGTGTACACTATTCCTTCATCCAGGTCATTGATGAATATATTGAGCAGGGCCGGACGCAGTACTCATGTAAAAATAATTCACAGAATTCTGTTTGGACTGTGAAAACAATACTCCCCATAAATTCTCTATGTATTGTCACACCAGGATTGAGTTAAAGCCAAAGAAGCACCTGATTCTTGCTTTGAATACCAGTTGATTGACTGCTGTTATAAACCACTTGATGGGACTCAGATTCCAAAGACAGTTGAATGACTGACTGTCTCATTTTAGCATTCTGAGATGTCAGTAACAAGACAAGCTCAAGAAGAGAGATTTAAACAAATGTTCAGAAAACACATTGTCAAGATCTACCAAATATACTACTGAACAGCTTTTATTTGTAACGAGCTATTTACCAAACTCCTTAATCAGATACATATTACCAATATTTCTGAAGTATATTTGTGAATAGCAGTTTCACCCAAATGAAGAATGTTATACCATGTTCAATAATCTTCTATTTTCTCTTTCTCTAAGCATTTGGATGCACATAAATAATATTTGTACATGTACAGAAGATATTAGTTATATACTCAGATGTAAACATAACTATGAGACATGCATAACAGAAGGTAATAAATATTATAGTACGTTTAGAGAAAGAGAGATAGAGAGAGATATCGATCTGTATAAATATATCCCTTCCATTTTGACTGGTCTGGATTTTGCAATAGTATTGTCACCAGTTTAAACAGACATCTTACACTTGTTTTCCTCTGTACAGCTTTTAATTTGTTTTGTAATAATCTCCCTAAGCTAAATAAGCAGCCTTTGGTGTAAACAGAAACATCAACAGCAATTAGCATTTGCAAAGTACCTGACATGTTTAAAGTATTGTGTAAGTATTTAAACACAAGTCCTCAAATCAGTCCTCAGGATCACTGAGCACTTCCACCAGCAATGCTGTACCCATAGAGAAACACACTGCCACAAGGCAGAAAACAAGTTACCACCAAAGTCCTGAAACCAGGACTAACTTTTAATAAATAGTGGTATTTACACAAAGCTAATCCAAACAAAAGAAATTCAGAAGTAGTACATGAACACCCTTTGTCTGCAACATAGTGTTAGTTTTCTAGCATTAAGAATGAAACAATCCAGATTTTGAGGAAGAGCAGATAAGGCAGCACATATAACCTGCCTATTAACCAGATACAATCTTTATGATGGAGAAAAAAACAGTATGTGCTTAGGAAAAATTTAGTATAATGCGATTCATGTGATTTTTTGTCAATCATAAGCCTTTAAAAGATGGATCTTCCCTTCAAAATTTAGCTCAACTAGAAGAAGTACCTGGATCAGAAGTTTTCCTTTTATTTTATGTTCATCATATTTTGAAGGCTTTGCAGAATTTGGTGATGGACACGGTATTTTCATAAGGTCTTCATCTTCTTGAAATTTCTTAGTCTTTAACAATTTATCTTCATAACCAACAGAAGTTTTCATCTTTTCAAGATTTTTTTGTATTTAGGGATGTATCTTCATAAGAAATAGAGGTCTTCATCTTTCTGAGTTTCCTTATTGCTTAAGGATGAAGACAGGACTCTCTTTTAAAACTGACTACACAAGAAAAGATTCCAATGAAGACATTTCTATTCAGCTAGTTGGGGTGGCTGTGGACTTGAAAGATTTCCCTGATGTCGCATGTTTTGTTCCTTCTTTCTGAGGATATGACCATTCCTTGGTCCTGAATATTTTCATTACTAAGGCCAGTATGCTTTGGAGTGGAAAATGTTAGATCCATTGAATAATTTGCTTGTTGGAATGATTTTGGTCACTTTTATTTTTTTTTTTTTAATATTTCTCCTTACTACCAGAAATCTGGAAAATGTTCCAAGGTGTATGATAAATTTATCATAGTCTTTAAGTATGCAAGCTATTATTAAGGCTCCTTGTAAAAGTTTTCTTTCCTACTATTAGAGGATTCACACAAAAACAGATGTTCTCTTTTCCCTTAGTGGGTCAAAGTTAAGACTGCTTTATTAGGTTTTATTAAGACTGTCCATATTCTTGTTGATACGGAGCTATTGCTCACTGACAACATGACAAATAAGAGTTTTGCCCTTCAGCATGAAATTCAGTACTCCATGTCTTCCAACACTACTACCTTCAACCTTTGACATGACTGCAGAAAAAAAAGCAACCAAAAACCAAAAACATAAAAACAAGCTGCACCAGTACAAAGAAGAAAAAATATGAACAGACCTCTAAAGCCAATGACCTGTTCCCTGCTATATTTTGAGACTCATCTCTAACATGACATTTATGTAAGAATCAGCCCCATTATGACAGATGAAAAAAGCAATTAATATAAAAAAAAGTTCCTTTTGCTGTATTACTGCTTGACCACCTTCCCATGTCATCTGACTATCACCTACTGAGAACTAATAATTACAGAGAGGTTTATTGTACAAGCCATTATCCTGTAGTCTCTCAGATGGCTGATCTTCTATGTGTACCACCTGAAGTTCTAGCTATACTTAACTTGCAGCAGAAATGAGAAGATAAGCCTAGACTATAAGTCACAGAGTTGTGAAGTTTCTGTTCAGATAAAGAAGGAGGACACAACTGTGATTTCTACCATTGTAATAATCTATGCATGGTGTCTGTACAATTATAGAGTCTGGATGGTATTCTGTTTTACCACTGAAATTCTCTCTGTATATTAGTCCAAGTAAGGTCACATCTTTGCCAAACCAGAGACATTTCATTTAGCTTTAATAATCTATAATTGCCTCGTCTAATCTAACTTAGTCACACAGGGAGATGAGCAACTCTGGAGAGTGGTACATCACACTTAACAGTTTAGGATGAGAAATGGAACTGGATTGTGGAGATGGATAGTTTAACATAAACTCTAGCTGTCAGAAGGAAGCACTGCACAGTGTTGCTGGAGAGCCAAGATTGAAGGGCAGACCTTTGTCAGACTCCATGGACATTATAGTAAGAATCACCAAACATACACTCCAGAAAAAATGGCTTTTCAAGCATATAACTTATAAACACAATTGATGTCAGAGAAGTAAAGATGTACTTACCAAAAACAATAGAGGACTCACAGTAGTAGTAACCATTCGGTTGCTTTTTTTTCAACATAGAGCAAAGATCTAGGCGCCGCAAGGTTTCATCTCCAAAATAATGGCTTTTAAAATCTTCATACAGGCATGAGTCAATTTTTTTCACCTTTCAATAGCAACATAAAATTCAGTTAGGTATTCTACTAGAAGATTGAATTTTGTTGTTTAATTCCAATAATTTTCATTTTAATCAGAGGTATAGTTAGGATGGAAAACTACTGCAAAAAGAATACTGAAAGAATAATGTGCCGAACCTTCTGTTATAGTTAAGCACTGCCTGCTGCATAACTTAAACAAGGAAATATAGTGCCATTACACCTTTTTTCTATTCCTCCCTCTTCAGTCCTGTATGAAACAAATTGACAAACACAATGCTAAAACTGCTTTCGCTTCCAGTGGTTTGCAACCCTCTTCATGGAACATGTAACTGGAAATTATTCTTGCTGTCATCACTGGGAATGCGGCTACAAGGAAGAATCTAAAATGTTCAATGGGGGCAGTTTTCTGGGTCTTTAAAATCACCAAACACAAAAATGTGGTTGTTTTGCATATACAAAGTGGAACAACTTAAATGTTCTACAAGGCTGTTTTCAGAAAATCTTATTTCAGTAGTTAAGAGAATAGGGCTTCTTATTCCATCATATTTTCAATAAAAATAAATTATCTCTGCAGAAAGTCAATCTTTCACTTCCAACATACCTCAGAATAATGCTGTTTGCTTTTTAAAAATTGTTACTGTGTGCTAAAGGATGTTAGGAACAACTGCTGCCTCCAGCAGCTCCATCACAGGGCTGCCTGGCTGTTGCAGCCCAGGGGACTCAGGGCCCCAGGACCCAGCCCAGGGCCTCTGATGAATGTACCTGCTACTTTCATGTCCCAGAGACGCATAGACATGCTCAGAGTACACAGACATGACTGGCTACACAGGCTGGCCCCAAAAAAGGACCGCCCTCTTCCCGCATAGACATGCTCAGAGTACACAGACATGACTGGCTACACAGGCTGCCACAAACAAGGCACTGCCTTCTACAGCACCCACATATATGAATCACATGAGACACAGGTGTGAACTGCCCCCAGCAGAGACAGAAGGTCACTAGTGCAGGTGTGCACAGGACACTCCAGGTTCACAAGCACATGAATGTTTGTGCATCCCCCAAGCATCACTGTGACCTTTCTGACCACCTGGCACCTCTGTCCACCCCATGTGTCCACTTGCTCGTTGGTCCAGCTTGAGGTTAGGTTAGGTAATGAACACCTAAACCTCTCATGCACACCCAGTTTGGGGAAGATAGAGATGTCTGTCCCCAGCAGCCAGCATCCAGTACACCAGTTTGGTCAGACAAGCATGCCCAACAGCCCTATTTTACACAGAATCTGCCCCTTTTTACCTCCCATTCTGCCTACTCTTCCTTTGTTCCTCCCCAACCCCTTCCCTTGAACATCCTCTATCTGTTTGAACAGTACCACCAACCCCACCAACACCCTGGACACCCCCAGCTGCTGCAAAGTCCTGTTTTTTCTGAAATTTCTTGCCAGCCTATCAATTAGTGTGACTGAGGACGTTTTTCTCTTCGTTTTGCCTATTATGTTTACAGGTTTGTGTCTATGTATATATATTTTTATGGCTTCATCCTTTTCCTTCCCATTTAATTTACAAGGTCCTCAACCAGATAATTCTACTGAAATGAACAGCCCCACACTCCACATGCCCTTATCAATCTGTGTGGCTGACCAGCTTCCACTCTTGCTACTGCCTCCCATATCCTAGGATGGTCAGGTTTATGCCTCTGTACATGTTGTTTAGGGCTTCCTCCTTTTTTTAGTATCCTCTTCTGTACTGAAAAGGTCCCTCACTAGACATCCTAAAGGGTGAGACAGACTGTCTCCTTCCTAGCGCTCTTACACTGCATCTGTCCATCTGAGCACCCCACTTGCTTGTGGTGGTTCATTTCTAATTGCTTGAGTAAGTACCTGTACATTTGGTTCTCTAAAGTCTAATACAGAGACTTTTGGTCCCCTTTACTAAATTAGACTTTCAGTGTGCTAAAGTCTAATTAAGGGAAGGTCAGAAGTGTCTTCCCATTATTTCCTTACTTTCTGAAACGATGACATCTAGTGGAGGATACTCTTCATTTCGGGTATACAACTTAAAGACATCTGTATTCCAGCCTCACTGTCATTATTTAAAATCTATTTAATTAATCTATTTAATTCTATGGCTAGATTAGCCTTAATGTACTCTTGGTTATTTTAAAATTAAATCACAATTCTTTGCTTTTTGGCTGACAGTTCATTGAAATACATTTAGACATTAACCAGTAATTTAAAAAAAAGACCTTTTCAGCCTGGAGAATAATTGTCAAAATGTGAAGCCCTGAGTACTTGTGGAACAAAATGAGGAAAAGATCAGAATCACCACTTCATGCTTCAATAAAAAAATAGCAGTTACAAGAGGTTGGGATGTTGTTTGTCAAAAACAGATTGGTAAGGACTGAATCAAACGATGAATGCTCAGGAATTGAGTTATGCTCGTGATACACTACTGAAAAGCAGTCAGGGGAAAACTGTGATATTTTTAGTAACTTGGCGCAATTTCTGGAGTGCTGTTTGTAATGAGATGTGAAAGGATGACACATGGCAGGTGCATGGGAAGGTCACATTTATCTCTTGATTGCAAGGGTCTGGAGCAGTAAAGATGAAAGAGGAGCTGTTACCACTTGAGCAAGTTACAGATGTTGATTAAGAAATATGCTATAATTGAGGAAGGGTGAGAAACGGGAGTATTTGAGAGGCCATTTTGAAGTGTTTGGTGCTGTAAGGGGAAGAGGAAGACTCCTACCTCTCGAGGAAGCATTATAATGAATGCATGCACGTGAAGGGACATGGTTGTGTAATGTCGGCCTGGAGAGGCATTGCATATGGAGCTCTTGCAGACTGGCAGAACACCAAGGAGTGAGCAATTGGAAGCCCTGTCGGGTCTGTTAACTGTCTGTACCACCTCTGTATGCAGGTGGGGTCCATCCTGCCATCCCCAGCCTGCAGTTAAACCCTCCAGCTGCGTGGAGTCTGTGTGGCTGCTGTCAGCAGGCAGCCAAGCAGTGTTTGCCCCTTCGTGGAACCCAGGGGAAGAAGGTAGAACCAGGATCAAGAAGGTTCAAGTGATGACAGGCTTTATCAGACTGCAAAACAAGGTGTAGAACACCCTCTTGCACACAGCTTCAGTCTCCATGTAGCAGAACCCACAGCCAAAATGCCCAGCTCCCAGCACCACATAACCAGCTCTCCAAGCATGAGGGCTGCATCTGAAGATTCATTTACAGTTGCTCAAAGTAGCTTCCCTTAATAGTGAGCTGCAGAAGCTGCAACAGGTGAAGAGGTGACCAGCTGGGGAGCCTGGCAGCGGGCAGGGATGGCCACAAATCCTGCTGGAGCACTGGCAGGTGATGCAGAGGCAGCTCAAGGAGATGCTACGTGGGAGCAGATGCCTGACATCCCTTCCCAGCCAGCAGGCTGGGCTGTTCAGGGGGCTTCTTCCAACAGCCTCCTCTTCTTCCCCCTCAGCGCAGGGCTCCCTTCCGGGGCTGCGGGGAGGAGGCTGAGCCCTGTGGAGCTGGGAGGCCGCTCGGGAGGCTGCGGGTCCATGCCCTGCGTGACGGCAGGGGCTCGTGGCCAGGACAGGGCTCCTGTGGGCGGCCGGGGCTGAGGGCAGCGCGGCAGGGCAGGACGGCGGCCCC